ACTTTGACCAGTTGGCAACCCTACTTGCCGGGCAATATGTGGGGCTCTAGGTATGTGCCACAGACAGCCCTGTTGCCCATGGTCGATATGGTGATTGCCCATGGTGGTAATAATACGGTAACCGAGGCGTTTTACTATGGTAAACCGTTGCTGGTGTTACCACAGGCTAGCGATCAATTGGATAACGCACAGCGCCTACAGGAGGTGGGGTTGGGTCGCCGTCTGAGCCCCTATTACTGCACTGAGGCTGAGCTGTTACAAGCGGTCGATGAGATGGTTAGTGATCAGCCGTTGAGGGATAGGATGGCCAGCATTGGTGAGCGGGTCCGGGCGTCGAAGGGTCGGGCGCTGGTGTCCGAAGTGATTGAAGGACTGGTGACCGGGAAGTAGGGGTGGGTTATGTTTCGTTTTAGTTTAAATTAAATTGTTTTTGAAACTAGTTTTAATGTATTATTTGTTAAAATAAAATAAATAATCAATAATTAATACACAATAAAAAATTAATTGTTTTCGAATTATATAATGTAATGTATTATATTACTTATTAAAATGTTCATGTTACAACTGTAAATGTATTGTTTTATTACAGATTTTCTTAACCATATTTAAGATGACATTTAATAACGGGAAAAGTTAAGTGAATATGTAATTTAAAACTTAAATGTAATTTCAATTTTTTTTTATTTTGTTATAGATTTCCCAAAATGTGAATAAAATAATATTAAATCCATGATAATCATGAAATAAAAATACTATTTTTCATTGTATAGATGTAAAACAATTTAAAATAAAGTGTTAAAATGTAAATCATTACGCATTGAGATTAAATATATATTACCAAATGAAACATAAATTTTTGCTAAACATTTTAATTTAATAAAACTAATTTATAATAATTTAGCATTTTAGCAATTTAATTAGAGTTTCTTAATAGTTTACAGTTTAAGTTAGTATGTTTAGATTGTTTTGATAAAATTATATAATACATATAATAATAAATTATATATTAATTAATAATAATTATTATTAGAATTATAAGTTTAAATTAATCACTTACTATTGTATTAACTTATTTAATACTGTACTATATTTTAAATATATTTTAAACGTTATAATAATATATAACATTTTATAAACTTAACATAATAATCAAATGTTTAAAAATAGTAAAATTCATGATAATCTTAAAATATTAAAATACGTAATAATTATATGGCATATAGTTTAGTTTAATTTTACATATAATATATTTATTCAACAATCTAAAGTAAGACCAACAAAGTACACTTTGTCTCTATTCTCCCATAGGAAATACATTATAACTATGCCCGTTAACTAATTAAAATTAAATTAAAATTAATGTTATAACTGTAAAGTTACTGTTTTATTATACATTTACTTAACCATATTTAAGATGAAATTTAACAATGGTATAAAAATAATTGAATATTATAAGCATAACTTTTATATAATTTAAATTATTTATCGTGATTTAAATTTTCCAAAATGTTAATAAAATAATTACATAATATAAATTCCATGATAATCTTAAAATTAAAATAAAGTTAATTTAACTTTACAATTAATAATTAAGTAAAACATGGCTTAATTATTCACTGTATACTTGATATTTAAATTATGGTATTAAACTGTAAACCATTATCATTGATATTAAATATATACCTAAAAATGTTATGTTATTATTAAATTGGGCGAATTCCTACCGCCAAACCTAAATATTTTAATTTAATAAAACTAATTTATAATTATTTTGCCATTTATAGCCGGTTTCCTATTTAAGAACTCTTAAAAGTAAAAATTGTAAGAGAGTCTTTTATAATAATTTTTGTAGAGAACAGCACTAATTGGTAAATACATGACTCGTTAAATAAAATATAATTTGATTTATATTTATTCACTAATCTAAACTTGGGGAGGGAGGAAGGAAGGGAGGAGGTAGCCGAACGATTCTATAAACAACATTATTTATATCTGAATTGTGGTTAAAATATAAATATTATTAAATAGAATATATTTTAAGTTTGTATTGTATACCTGCAAAACAATATAGAAATACTAAATTATTATTATAAACCGTAAACTCTTATGCATTGAAACCAAATATTTACTAAAAATGTCATATAACTATTAAATCGGGGCACTCAGGGCCGAAGTATAACAAATATTTTATTTTAATTAATATTTATAATATTTTTCTTACCTATCAAGGTCATTTTTTAATGAAAAATATTTACCTACTTTAAATATAATTGAGCACACAATCTCTTACGACTTGGTTGGGTAAAATTATAAAGTGGAATATAACTCCATTTCAGATTAATTAATTATTTTTAAATAATATGTTTAATGTATTTTTACTACAAAATGCGTCATAAATGCCCTAAAATAAATAATTTAATATTTAAAAATACTAATATTTTCGATAGTAGCAAAATATAAACTCAATTAATTATTTAATTAAACACAGTTTAATACTAGTTTTAATGTATTTTTTGTTAAAATATAATAAATAATCATTAATTAATACACAATAAAAAATTAATTGTATTTGAATTACTGTATATGATTATCTTATTTATTTGATACTTTTATTTATTTCAAAATTTTCGTGTTATAACCGTAAATTTGTGGTTTTATTACACATTATCTGAACTACATTTAGTATAAGAATTAACAACAGAAATATTAAAATGATTATATACATGGGGAGGGGTAACCGAACGATCCTATAAATCACATTCATATATGAAATGTAATTAAAAATACAAGAATTTTTGTGAATTTTCTCACATTAATACAGGATTTAAAATATTATTTGGCAACGCTAGTTGTGCCTTACAATAAGAATTAATATTTTATTTTGTTGTAAAATACTGTATATTAATATTTATAAAGTAATTTAATACAGATTTTTATATTTAAGTATTTCTTTAAAATAATTTAAAACTAATTTATAATCAATTAATTTTGCGTTAAATATAGGAAATCGCCACAGAATTGCACTTTTCATCCGTGAGATTATATTAGCGTTTATTTGGTTTGCATTTTCACCAAAAATATTATTGAATTCATTCATTATATCCTTTATATCTTTATCTTCTGATTCCTCGAGTAATCCATCGATAAATCCTTGGATTTGATCGACATTTACACCAAAAGTATGCCAAATAAATGACTTGTAATCAATTTGATTATAACCATGTCTATTAAATTATAAATAGTAATTCTGTTTATAATAAATATAAAAATTATAAATATATATTAATACTTTTTATAACTCATTTGTATTTTGAACAAATTGTTGATAATTTCGATAAATTCACATATTTTAGAACTATTTAAAATTGTAGGAAAGTCATTGAAAGTATTCATGTAGTCATAACAGTATAGTTTCATATAATACTCATTCATTATATTGTCATTTATAATAAATATCTTATTAATATCGAGTGAAATGTTTGCGGTATTAATATTGTTAGCAATCAATCCTTGAATACAACGTAATAATTGTCTCAACAATTGCTGTGAAATAAGGAAATCAATTGAAATCATTGCCAACGAGTGATGAGTTTGTGTTCCAAATATCGCTTGTTTTGCATTTATGACATCCCATAGAGTTTGCGAACAAAACTCCGATTGAATATAAATTTCGTTGTTTCTAATCCAAGAGTTATTGATTTGAAGCAAATTTTGAGGTTTCAATGCAAATACTTTTCTTATATTTACAACAATTTTCCTCATATCATTGGAATCTATAGTTATTATGTTAAATAATATTTAAAATTATAAATTTAAAATTAATATTAATAATTAATGTTGTTATTAAATTAATCTATTAAATTACTGGCCATATTTTTAAATTATTTCCTAATTAGGAAATTATATATGAAATAATAAATATCTAAATCTAATTTAGCGCTGCAGTTGTAAACAGGAATTAGGCTAGTGTTTATAAGTGCTTGAATCAAGAACAACATAATTTAGTCAAAATATTCAAAATTGTTTTATTATATGGGTTATTAAATAATTTTTAATTTGGAATTTAAATTAATTAAATTTGAAGTTATCACTATCAATGCTAAATAGCTAAAATCAATAAATCGGGTACATTTATTATCGTTGCAGTGTACTCAAGTAATATATTTAATTTAGTTATTTGATTTAAATGTGTAATGTAAGTAATAAGCTCTTACTTATTGGTTCATATTTGCTTATAAAATAAGATTTGTCATTCACTATTTTAATTAATTGTTTGAAATTAAAGAAATTGTTCAATCCATCAAGTTGATGTTTATAAGACTTGATAATTTGAAGCATATCTATAATAACACGATTAATTTTCAAATTATATCAATATATGAATTTAATTTTGATTAGAAACATATAAATATAAAAACAAAGTTAATTTACCATTATTTTCGACTTTTGTTTGGCAAATGATACACATATCGTGACATTGACAAAAATAATCTAAAAATAATGTAAATTTATTTTTAATAATATTATTAAATAATAAATCATTTTTGTCGACAATCGGTTCAATCGCTAAATGTATTAATTGGTGTAAAATTACGTCACATTCGGGTCTTAGTCTCCAATCAGTCTTTCCATAACTCTCTGTATATATACTAACACTCATTGTAAGCAATAATCCGTATATTTTTGACAATTTATTTTTGAGATTAAAATTATCATTAATTTCTATATTAAAATCCAATCTGAAATACAATTATGTTTTAATATTCATATAAATTATATAATATAATGTACAGAACAATTCATGTTATATAATAACATACACTCCGTCTCTGATATCGTTTGAATCGAAACCAAATATTTTCGCCCCAATGAGTGCCAGACTATAGACATCTATTAAATGGTTGTATTCAGTGGTCTGTCCTTCGGGTGCCATATAATTAACATTGTCTTTGAAATCAGCGGTTTGTTTGTATCCATCACTCAATACATGCACTTCTTTAGACAAACCGAAGTCACATAACTTTATATATCTTTTAATGTAACAATTGTTATCAATCAACACATTATCGGGTTTGAGGTCTCTGTGAATGATATTATTTTTGTGCAAATATTTCACACTTTCCACCAATTGTTTGAATAATTCATATGATATATAATATTCAAATTCAGTCATTATTTTTCCAAACATTTTTCTCTTATTTTTTAGAACTTGTGTTAAATTTCCGGCCAAACAATCCATTTGAATGTATAGATAGTTGTATTGAATCCATGAATAATAGTATTGAATGACATATTGTGAGCGCAATTTTAACAGTGTTTCCGTTTCTTTCAAAACATTTTGTTTGTGTTTTTCTTTCAAATCTTAATATAAGATATTATAAAAAAAATTCATGTAATTAAAAATATTAAAATTATTTTTATTAACAATAAATGTGTGCACGATTAATTTAAAAATCTTACCATTTAATTGACATTTTTTAATTGCAAATATGTCTCCATTGTTTTTAGCCTTCACTTCATACACGTCTCCAAAACCACCTGATCCTAACTTTTTCAATATATCATACATTTCTATGACATTTTTAGTGTTTGTATTAAAATTATCTATACCACGATGGTCTATATTATTAATTTTATTAAAACCACTCTTATATTTAATTATATTAATGGTTTTATAAGTCACTTGATATTCATTAGCAAAATAATCATCAAATGATGAATAAGTTGTCTCAATAAATACATCTTTATATTCGTATACTTTATCGACACTAAATCCAATAGTAATAGGGAGATAATTAAATGTTATTTGAGCAAGGTCATTAAATAATAAATTGCTTTGAATAATCATTTCGTTGCTATTAAAATCATATTTATAAATATTATGATCATTTGATAACATGATTACATAATCAATGCCATCGACCAATGTAAAACCAGTATAAATAATTATTATATTGTAGACATTTGCTAATAATCTTAGTGTTATTGACGTCCCATTGTTGAGCATCACTTCCCACATAAATACTTGTCCATTAGATGTAATGGCAAATGCATTGATATCACAACACATAATGTCTATAATATTGTATTCAACGGGAAATTGTATTTCAATTGGTTTTTGTGTTTCCAACAAACAATATCTCCATTGATATACCCGTCCGTCGGATGTCAGAGCAATAGCTGTGTCACCAAAACATGATATTTTCTCAATACGAATATCACGTGAATTACATAATAATATTTTGTGCGGTTTATTATAAGTGTCTCCATTGGGAGTGTTATATAAACCCCAGCCATACATCT